TATTAATATGTACAACTAAAATTACTAATAAAGATATGAGCAAGGCCTCACCTTAACACCAAAAAAAAAAAAATAAATTTTAAGTTTAAATCTTAATTAGTACAGTTACTGTTAAAGCAATTTACTTTAATTAAATGAATTTCTAATATAAATTAGTATTTTAAAATTAGACTACTAATATATTTTGTTGATCCATATATAAAAATAAACCAAAAATAAAATAACACATATATTTTGTTAATTCTAATATAAATAGTAAACTATAATTTATATTACATATATAATTCATTATATACATACTTAAAAAAGCTTTTAGCAATGTTTTTTTATCAATAAAAGCTAAGCAAAAACTTTTTTCTCTCTTTATAAATTTATTCATTTAAACCTTTAAATATTTATAAAAATTATTTTACAAATCTTTTTTTTACAAAATTTTTTAACAATTATTAAACAAAATGTGTTTTTTTATTTAATTTTTTTTGTAATTATTCTCTTTGGTTTGTTAATAGTTAACAATATAGACAAATTTGATATCTTAAATTTTATTTTTAATATTCTTTATTCAAAAGAATTCTTCTTTATTAGAATAATAATTTATTTAATAATTATTATTTTTAATATATTTCTTTAACGTTATTTGGGGTGTCTCATATAAAAAGGGACCATTTTTACATATAAACAATTTTGAGTAAATCAGGTTTAAAAACTGCAGCTTACTACATGATTATCCAAAATTACAATCTAAAAATAACATTAGAAAATTCCATACAACGATTCCTTGTTAAGGATTCTTGTCTTAAATCTAGCACTAGTGGATTATGATTCAACAATTATTTTCTTTATTCTGTTTTTCCGGATTTTAATTTTTTGTCTTCAGGTCTTATGGTAAAATTTCTTGTAGTCTTCTCTGGTCTTCTGACTTTTCTGGTAATTTAATTATGTTATTCATTTTTATTCTGTTCTTTCAAATTTTACTAATTAATTTTCTTTGTCTTTAGGCCTTTTAGCAATTTTCTTGTGAAATTTCTTGTGGTCTCCCCTAGTCTTCTAGCTTTCTGGTAATTTTAATTGTGTTGTTGGGTTTTTTCTGTTCTTCTGGATTTTACTAATTAATTTTCTGTCTTCAGGTCTTTTGTCGATTTCTGGTAAAATTTCTTGTGATCTCCCCTGGTCTCCAGCTTTCCAGTAATTTTAATTGTGTTGGGTTTTTTTTTTGTTCTGGATTTTACTAATTAATTTTATGTTTTCAGGTCTTTCGATTTTCTGGTGAAATTTCTTGTAGTCTTCCCTGGTCTTCCAGCTTTCTGTAATTTTAATTGTATTGTTGGGTTTCTTTTGTTCTTCTGGATTTTACTAATTAATTTTCTTTTCTTTAGGTCTTTCGATGATTCTGATGAAATTTCTTGTGGTCTTCTGGCTTTTATGGTAATTGTAATTGTTTTTTTTTTCTGTTTTTCCAAATTTTACTAATTAGTTTTCTTTTCTTTAGGTCTTTCGACAATTTTCTGGTGAAATTTCTTGTGGTCTTTCTGGTAATTTAATTGTGTTATTGAGTTTTTTCTGTTCTTCCAGAATTACTAATTAATTTTCTTTGTTTTCACGTCTTTCGGCAATTTTTTTGTGAAATTTCTTGTAGTCTTTCTGGTCTTCCGGCTTTCTGGTAATTTTAATTGTATTGTTGGGTTTTTTCTGTTCTTTCAGATTTTACTAATTAATTTTCTTTTCTTTAAGTCTTTCGATGATTCTGGTGAAATTTCTTGTGGTCTCCCGGCTTTTATGATAATTGTTTTTTTTTTTGTTTTTTCCGGATTTTACTAATTAGTTTTCTTTTCTTTAGGTCTTTCGATGATTTTTTGGTGAAATTTTTTGTGGTCTTTCTGGTAATTTAATTGTGTTATTGGGTTTTTTCTGTTCTTCAAGAATTACTAATTAATTTTCTTTGTCTTCACGTCTTTCAGCGATTTTTTTGTGAAATTTCTTGTGGTCTCCCTGGTCTTTTGGCTTTCTGGTAATTTTAATTGTGTTGTTAGGTTTTTTCTGTTCTTTCAGATTTTACTAATTAATTTTCTTTGTCTTCAGGTCTTTCGTCGATTTCTGGTGAAATTTCTTGTGATCTCCCCTGGTCTTCCGGCTTTTTGGTAATTTTAGTTATGTTGAAGTTTTTTTCTGTTCTTCCGGATTTTACAATTAATTTTCTGTCTTTAGGTCTTTCGGCGATTTTCTAGTGAAATTTCTTGTAGTCTTTTCTGGACTTCTGGCTTTCTGGTAATCTTAATTGTGTTGTTTGGTTTTTTTTTTTGTTCTTCTGGATTTTACTAATTAATTTTTTGTCTTCAGGTCTTTCGGTGATTTTCTTGTGAAATTTCTTGTGGTCTTCTTTGATATTCTGGCTTTCTGGTAATTTTTATTGTTGGGGTTTTTTCTGTTCTTCCAGATTTTACTAATTAGTTTTCTTTTCTTTAGGT